TAATACTTGACATTGTATTATACATGAATAAATATGTAAGAATTTCATTTTTGTTGGTGTCAAACGTTTTGTGTTCATATTTCATATTTAATAAACAAGATTTTTTATACATGCATTTAAGCATGAGATCTATTAAGTTACTGCACCACATGTTGGTTTAATAAACATATATATGCACAAACATGATTAAAATTGCAGTTTGATTACATTTGGATAAGTGTGCAGTGCTATGTGACCCTCTGGTAGCGAAAACACAAAAGTGTCMTCATTTAAGTTGCCCRTCCCTGACTTATATTTTGGATGCAGTTCAGTACTTGAAAATAAAAGAAGCATGTTGCAGGGGGGATTTGGGGTTCTTACAGGGGCATGACATTCAGAGGTTTGACATGGGCTCTGTGTACAAAACCAGTGTGTTCTGTGGAGGTGTTTTTTCCAATAAAAACATCAATTCCTCGGAGCAGAAGACCCTGGATCTCCACAATGTCCCCTTGGTTCAGCTGGAGCTCGTCTGGCGCTGCTGGACTGTGGTTGGCTACAGCTACACATGAACCTGTCACTGAAAGATTCAATGATGACAAACACAAGACAAAGAAAGTAAGCTCCCTATAGGGCTAATATATACTGTAAACATTTTACATTTTACAAAATATATGTTTTCGGTGCGTGCAAAGAAAGGCTTTTATTGAGGAATAAAATGCTTGAGGATAAGAGAAGTTGTGCTGCTTATGTGTGAGCTTTTATATTCAGAATAGTTTTACCRATAGAATGTTCGAACAGTTCCTTTTCTTTGGGTGAGCATCCTGCATGGCCTGGATACTTCCTCAGGAACCACCTGGCCAAACAGGAAGTAAAATTAGACAAAACCGTGTCAAATCTCCTCTGTTGTTTTGGTGAAGATTGTGCAGTTTTGTTTCTGCTTAAAGCGGACCGAGGTGACTCACTGATAGAAAGGGTAAGGCAGTGGCTGCATAGCGCTGACGGGCACCAGGCCGTGCTTTCCTGTGGCCAGCATGACGCCCTCCCACATGTTGTCCTGCCCCGTGTCTCGAACCATCAGCAGGTCGTTCTTTTTGAATGGCAGCTTCTCGTCATCGTCTTCGTCCTCCTCACTTCCCGAGAACAGTGCCTTGGCGAAGAAGGATCCTGCAATGTGACGGAAATCTAAATACGCAAAATGCTTTCAAAGAAAGATTTTGAATTTTGATTAAAAAATGTATCAATTTAGCTTCCTGCTCAGAGCAGCTACTGTGCCCTCATTCAGTCACAAGTGATGGATCATGTATAACCTCCCTTCTACTAAAGTAATGTAATTTTCACTATTTGCCAGCACTGCAGTCTTTTAAAGGTTCCAGGAAGGATTTTTTCTTGAGGAACAGTAGTGACGCTTAAGCATAAAGAAGCAAAGTTGCACTGTACATTCAMTGAGAAGGACTTTGCCATTAAAGTTAAGGATGCAACATCCTGGTATCCATGYAGTTTTGAGTGGGGTATCAGTCATTCACAGAACTAAACCACAGAAACTCAATTTGATCATGAGCTAAAAAAAACATCCATGTTTTCAGACCGTGAGAGGAAACCAGACACTTGAGAAAACTCACACAAGTGCAGTGAGAGCATGCAAACATCACACAGAAAGACTAAATCTGACATTTTGGTTTACCGCAATGCTAATCACACACTACACCACTAACCCTCAAATGTATTGAAAACCTTTAGGTCTGTGTCAGTGTTAATGGAGATCTTTTATAAAGGGATTGAAATAATGTGATCAAATTGTAGCTGCAGTTACTATTAACATAAAAATAAAAGACCCAGATTCTAGAGCCTACATGGTTATCAACAGTTGGATTGCCACACCCATTAACCACCTCTATCCAGTTGATGTCCATCAATAAAAAAAAATTCTGCATGTAAATCCAAAATCTTTACATWTTTTTTTATTTCAAAACTGTCTTTTTTTCAGTGCTTTTATTTTGAAGGCAAGTGGATTTTTATCACCTGCTAGCAGCGGAGTCCAAAGAGTTTGTGAGTGAGTTACCATAATGTTTGCGCGCGCGCGCNCACACACACACACACACACACACACACACACACACACACACTAATAGTACAGTGTGTAAACTTTTTACACAAAACATGTATTTCAAAGTATTTATGTGGTAAGTTAGTATAGCTGTGTTTCAGTGTGAAAAACTGAACAGAATGTTACATTTAAGGATTGTAAATTATATTATTACTGTCAGACAAAACACAGAGAAATACAAAGCAGGCACACACATTAAAGGCTTTACTATTCAAAGTGTAAACATCAACATTCTTACCAACATTTACACATTCAAGAATGATACAGGCGAGACTAGTTTTTCGATACCTCATAAACAGCAAACAAAACAGTGTGTTTATGAAAAAGTATTTGGTGAATTCTGTTTAAATAAAGGATCCTGAGAGAAATTAACTTTTCAGTCATGTAGTTTTCTTTTGGGATATTAAGGTATCCATCTAAATTCCGGGAACTGATTTTATTTCTGTTTACAAAAACTAAGAAAACTACTTCTAGGAATAATGTAGCTTTTTTCTGTTAAGTGTTGGCTGTAATATTACGTCATAAAAAGTGAAAAAAAAAAAAGAACRAACACTGCTTACCCTCTTGTAGAAGAAGTCCCAGGTAGAGGGTGGCCAGATGTTCCTCATCCACCGTCACATTGATCTCCAGCTCACTGAGCAGCTCTGGGTCCAGCCAGAACGACTGATCACACAAGAAGTTCTCCAAGCAACGGGCCACATAACCTGAGGTACAGAAAAACCCTAACTGAAACAGTACTACGATACTAGGACCAAAGCAAAAAGCAAATACTGAAGATAATGAAGTCCAGTTTGACTGTGCTGAGGATAAAAATGTTAAAGTTTTACCTAATGACAGGTAAGTTGAAAACTTCCAGATCTCCTCCACTGTCTTGAACGTGAGCACAAAGCTATCCTTCTCGGCGTGGACAGAGACAAGGCGAGCAGACAAGTCCTACAAGAAGACGAACAAGACGGATTACTCACCATGCAATCATGTATGTAAAGCACTTTACAGGAGTTGACCGTGCAGTGATGTGTTTGTAGTGTTTATTATGAGTTTACTTTAAAGAGCTGCGCAACGTCTTTGCTGTTGCTCTCCACCACTCGGAGTTGCGTGCGCAACGCCTCCTGCAGGGTCTGGTCAGGATCATCACAGGAGCGCCTCCGCCCAGTAAACAGGAGAACAATTTCTAAATAAGAGACAAAACACGATGGGACTTATTACAGAATTTCTAGATCATTTATTTGGCATGTTAAAATTATGGGTTTGAAATGTACCAAAATAAAAAGAGCATTACTAGAACAAATATGTGGCTTAAGACTTTGTGCTATATGTCAATGTTCAGAATACATACAGTATGTCTTAAAGTTGACTTTCAGCTACTGCTACAACAAGTTTGACTTCAGTACTTGTAATATTGACAGGGTTCCAGCCATTTTTGTATTTGAGAAAATGTATTAGCTGTGGTGTCCTTTTTGAATCAGGTTTCCTCTAAAAGGTAATCATCTATAGATATAATATCATTGATTACTTTCATTAACATCATCTAACCTTGGTCCTCGAGAACATTAACCTGCATGTTTTGCTTGTTTCTTTTGATCTTTTCAGAAGCTTATTCATCACTCATTCATATATTTCAGGTCTGTCAAAGCATTTTAATACTTGCAAGATAGAAATCCTCGAGGTTCAGGGTTGGGAACCATTGGTCTACTGGATCTTGCTAAGTCCCAGACAATGTTGACTCTACAATTTATTGTCAAAGTTTTAAGCAAATATTTTGTGCAATGTGTAGTTCTCAGCGTGTGTACACAATGACTCTCAACTACTACCCAGCTGACTTTTAGCACAATATTTCTGCAACTGACTGAGTTACATCCTTTTTTGTGTTTGTTGAGTTTGAGTTATTGTGGCAGCCATCTTGAATCAGGTCGACACCAAAATTGACTCAGATATGGATGTTCATCCACCCTTGTACCAGTTTCATTAAAATCTATGCAGTGGTCTATAAGATATTTTATCAACAACCAGCCAGACAAGAAAACACATGCACGCAAGCACAGATGATTACAGGAACACTTGTCTTTAATGGCGGCAGGCAATAATAACAATGTGGGTGGGAGAGGATCAAACCGAACAAGTTTTGTTCCCTGCAAGCAAAAGAGGTCAAACTTTTTGACGAGTTTATTAAAGATCCTCTGTGAGAGCTTTCATTTCAAAGATATGCTTTGTGAGCACAATTTGAGTCTCTGGAGGAATAACTAAACCATTAGGCCTTTTACTGGACTCTCAATTCAGCTATTTAAATCCATTTCAGAGGAAGAAYCTGAGGGATGTGATTGATGAAGCTGAACTGCTGATTGAGCAAAACATTAGTAGACATGGAAACAAGCTTAGTTTGAATTAATAGAACTAGCCTCCATTGGAAATACCTGATATTCTGGTTTAGAAAAAATGTCAGTCATGTAGATGACCAGCATTTCTAGTTCTGTGAACTTTCCAGTAGACAGACACAATGAGTCAAGTAAAGGCAAACATAATGACGCGTACCTGAAGAATGTTTGTCTCCAACAGAGACAATACTTCCTCGAAGGAAGGCCTCTTTCTTCTTCGCCCAGTAGCTTCCATTTTCTGCTTCTCCTTCACCAGGTTCTCCTACCAGACTGTCCTCTTCCTCACCTGTTGATGGAACAAAGCAAAAAAATATATTGGGAAAACACCGACAGGGTCAAACAGATCACATTTTTAAGGCCAAACATGAACTGCTGAATTAGAAAAAAACAAAATAACAAAAAAAAAATTGTATAGGTCTTCTGGACGGGTTCTTCTCTAAAGAAACGTTTCGTCTCTCCTCCAAGAGACTTCTTTAGTCTGAGAGTTTCAGGCAAAATTCAGGCTTTTAAGCCCTGCTTCCATGTGACTGATACTCACATCACATGGCTACAGACAGGATTCCATGCAACCTTCAGGTGAAAATGAAGACCCGCAAACCCAGACCCAAACCAGTGGTTATTCCGTATGTTGCGGGTGTTTCGGAGAAACTGAGACGTTTATTTTCTAAGCATAGTGTCCCAGTAGCTTTCAAACCCCAAAACACATTACGGCAAAGGCTGGTTCACCCCAAAGATCCGGTTCCCCGGCACAAACAGAGCAATGTTGTATATGCTGTTAAGTGCCAGGAGGACTGCGACCAGTTAYACATCGGGGAAACAAAGCARCCACTGTTCAAAAGAATGTCCCAACACAGAYGAGCTACRTCTAATGGCCAGAACTCTGCAGTTTTCACTCATTTACAGGCCAGCGGTCACTCTTACAGAGATGAGGATGTTCTYGTTCTTGATAGAGAGGAACGTTGGTTTGAGAGAGGAGTAAAAGAAGCCATTTTTGTGAAGAAAGACCGTCCATCATTAAACAGAGGTGGAGGCCTCCGTTTTCAGTTGTCCCCCTCCTACAGTGCGGCTATTGCCAGTATCACTCCAACCCCTGTTAACAATAAGTGCTAATTAGGTGTCAACGATAGCCATGTGATGTGAGTATCAGTCACATGGAGGCAGTGCTTAAAAGCCTGAATTTTGCCTGAAACTCTCAGACTGAAGAAGTCTCTTGGAGGAGAGACGAAACGTTTCATTAGAGAAGAACCCGTCCAGAAGACCTATACAATTTTTTTCTTTTTGATTTTTTACCTGGATTACTTGAGATGCATCAGGACAAAAAAAAATACTTAATCTGTTGTTGGTTAAACATCACATTCTTTTGAGAATCTGTGCGAGACAATCGGCTTTGTTGAAGGTGAAAACTTTTCTATCAAAATGTTCATCAGAAATACCTGCTTTAACTCAGCGGTAATCACAACTTCARTACTGGCTAAGAAACATAAATATGTTTTCATTTGACACAAGGTACTGATCCCTGTTTCTAATTTAAAACAATGCCAGGAAGCTGGTATTTTAACATGCTGTACACATAAATTGCAATTATGGCCTGCCCAAAAACACAAAAATGCCTACAACTCAATCACTTTTACACATATTGAGGTAAAACGTGCAGAGGTGCCACCAGGGAGGGGGGCATGCCTCCCCTTAAATATTTGTGTTCCTGATGTGTCTTTTTTTAAATGGACCCCAGGAAGAATAGCTGATGCGGCAYGCTGCTGATGCTAATGGGGATCAAATTAATTAATTAATTAATTTTTCATGTGTAATGATAGGCACATTAAAACTGGACTGCTGTAAAAATCCAATTTGTTTCTGGTCAATGGACATCACATAATCAGTAATATAACATGTGAAATATCAAACTGAACTACATCTGTTGGCAAATCCTTAACTCTTATATTGCCATAGTTTTCAAATTGTCATTTTACAACAACAGGAGTATAAAATTTCTGACAAAGGTTTTAGTTTGGGTGTGCCACCCCTGATTATTCAATGCCCCCTCTGAAAAAAAATAATAATAATTTGCAGGCACCACTGAAAATCTGATTTGGGAGTAGCTGCAGGGTTTATTCACAACTCATTCTCTGAGCACTAACAGGTCTTGCAGTGATGTGTGAGACTTTACATAACTCCATCAATTCTCAAGATAAGATAATCTTTATTCTTTCAAGGTATTAGGGCTGGGCGGTATTGATCTTTTTCATWCTGATATATTATCTTTAGATAATATTTCACATTCATACATACCGAGTCTGTATGAAACATACCATAGTGATTGAGTTGTAAGCAATAGAATGGTAATATTTAGGGAAAAAAAGTGGTGTAGACTATTTGTCATAACTCTGGTTTTAGTAGGCCTATCTACGCATTTAAAAAATTGATGTCTCTACTTTTGATTTTGAAAAAAATGTCTCAGAGTAGCTGTATATTTCTGGCTAGAACGATTTAAATAGGTCATGTCACTAGGCCTCAGAGGGTTAATATAATTATAATTTTTAAATTTCATCACCGTATTTTAATAYCGAGGTATACCATAATACCGCCCAAGCCTACAACATATGCTAGGTTTTTAATCTACACAGTTTTTGAACACTTGTTAAGTAAGTAAGTTAGTAAAGTTTTATTTATAAAGCACCTTTCACATAAATATATTCACAATGTGCTGTACAATCATTAACATTATAAA